GTCCGACCAGGAACCCAAATCAGGGGCTTGGAGGAAGGGACACCCTCCAGAGGCTGCTGCCTGGGGTCTTCCCAGACAGCCCTTGTCTTAGTGACCCACGGAGTCAAACCCTGACCGCCTTTCCAGCTGGGTGGGAGGAGGGAGAGGGCATGCGGGTACCTGTCTAGGAGTGTGGGACACATTACGGGATGCAGGAGAAGAGCAGTTTAGGATTGCACAAGGTTTATTATGGGATGTTTAGAGGAGGGACCAAAAGTGGGCAAAGGGATGGAGCTAGGTGGTCTGGGAAGGAGTGAGTGTGGGAAAAGAGAGGGGTACCAGGATAAGAAGACATGGTCCCATAAGCAGTTGGCCAGCCAGTGCACGTACCCTGATCATCACAGCCTTCCCACCTTCTTAAATTCCCTCCCAGCTCTGTTGGGGGTGAGGGCTCTCTCCTGTGTGCACATGTGCAGGGGGGATCCCTGTGCAGCCGCTGGAGCCACACCGTGGGCTGGAGACCCGTGTGTCTGCTGCAGCAGCTGGAGCAAGGGTGAGTGTGTGATGGTCAGCGGAGACCAGAACGGACCAGTCGGTGAAGAGGTGGGATAGCCTGGGAGCAAGGGGGTCTGTGAAGGCGAGACCCCCTGGGAGCTGAGTGCTCGAGGGACAAGGGAAGTCCTGGACCATTCCGTGTGTGTACACACGATGGCCTGTACCGGCATCTGGAGTGGGGCTGCAGCCTGAGGGACTGCTACGTCCAGGGTGCCAGCAACTGGGGAGACTGGGATCCAGGAGCAGCTACTGGCAGACTGCATGAGCCCAGCTGCTGGAGGGATCCACACTGGATGTATGGAGATAGGTACGTGTGTGTGTGTGTTCATCTATTCCTGTTAGTGGGTCTCTGTTCCACTCTGGGGGAGAGCGCAGCGGACTGAGGCCACTGGTGCAGTCTCCGTTCATGTGAACACCCTGCGTGTCTGTGACCTGCGTGACCAACCATGTACGTGTTACATACATGTGCTGTGTGTGCATCTGCCTGCTGGGGATGCATGCTCACCCTCACATCTGGTTGGGCCTGGGGGCATGGTGCTGTGACAGCCTTGCTGATGTCAGATCAAGCCCAATTTCCACACTAAAATACACCTCTCCAGCTGAACTTATCCCTAGTGTTTGCCTCTGAGTTACTGGGAATGAAGAAACTGTATAATGCCATTATATTTCCTAATCTTACAAAAAATGGGCTGTGGGTGACTTGAAAAATGCTCTTCAACCTATTGCAGATTGGCCACATTTCAGCTGCTGCTGAGACTTCACTTGGCTGGTGGGTTTTGCCCTCTGAAGCCAGGATCTCAAGATAGAAAGCATTTTCAATACTGTTAACAAATATTTGGCTTTTAAATGACTGTAGGTTTTGACAAAGCCTGTCCCCTGTGCTTACTAGTCAGCCAGGAATATTCTTGCCTCTTTGAGGTTTAATTGTTAGGAAAACATACATTTGCCTAGAGCCTACATCTGATTTGCACATGCAAATGGCCAGTGGCACTCTTGTACCATAGATACCGGCCACCGCGGTTTCTTGTGAAAGAAACTGTTTGTCACATAACCAAAATACCTCCCTAAGTGCTTGTGTCCCTGCCAGCCCAGGTGTAAGCACGCTTCATCATGTTTCTTCATCCTGCTGTCTGGTCCTTCCTGCCTCTTCCCTGAGCGTGTACCCTGCCCGCTTTAGAAGCGTGAAAAAAACAGCACTTCTTTCAGAAGCGAAGTCTTCACAAATAGAAAGGGTAACTTCCTCTGCTGAGCGGAGCCAGCGCGTCTCAGTGACAGGTCTGGCCCTGGCTGCCTGCCTTTCCTCCTCCTGCCCAGCTCTGCACACTCCCTGTGCTAAGCATCTTCCCTCTGCTGCAGGATTTCACGCACAGCGATCTCGCTTGCTCACCATTACTTACTCCCTCACAGTTGTTCACTGACTGTAGTTACACGCCTGCAACTGGCTGCTCCAGCCAGCACCATCGCGTACTGTATCCCGGTAACAGGGCCACTGAGATGTCCGTTTGGCAATCGGGCATCCGTGCCCCAAAATGACATAAGAAACATTAAATTTTGATGAATAACAAAATCTCCAGATAAGCCTGATGGTAAATCTTAACTGCCAAATGCTGGACTCAACTGATTTATGAGGGCACTGAACTGAGGCAGGAAGCTCTTGAAACAGAAGGAAGAAATTGTATTGGTAGAACCTGAGATGGAAATAGAGCTCCGAAAATGTTTTAAAGTAGGGTTTGTTTTCTCTTGTCCATGCCTTACAGTTCAAGGCAGAAATACTTCTAATATGCTTCCTAATCATAGAATCATTTGGGTTGGAAGGGACCTTGAAGCCCATCTAGTTCCAACCCCCCTGCCATGGGCAGGGACACCTTCCACTAGACCAGGTTGCTCCAAGCCTCATCCAGCCTGGCCTTGGACACTTCCAGGGATGGGGCATCCACAGCTTCTCTGGGCAACCTGTGCCAGTGTTTACTAATACTTTGAAGTACCACAGAGACAGAATTGCTACTTCTCCTCACAGTGGAATAAGCAGAAAATGCTTGGGGGAGACGTGAAGTGCTCAGTCACCACACACTGTCTGCCTGATATAGTTGAATTTAACAGGGTAAATGCTTTCTTTGACTGGATTAAGTCATCCAGGCTTTACTTCCAAGAAGTCTGAAGCCATTCCAACTTTGAGCTGAAGTTTCCTCAAGATAGGCAAAAATGAGGGGTTGCCCTCTGGAAGCCCTCAGTACCGTCTTCCATACTTTGCAAAGACCAAGTGTGCTCTAATACTTCAGATCTCTGTGTCCTTTGAATTATCTCTCTTGGTTTATTTTGGGTATTTTTCAAATGAAATAGGATCACTATAAATTGTATCCACTAATGAAGCCACAAAAAAAGCTATTCTTAGGGTTTTTTTTTCCCCTTTGCTTTATAAGGCATGCGTTCTTGGTGGAAACATTCAATGACTGTCACAAAGAGCTCCAAGAGAAGAAGTAAGGAAATGAAATACCATTAGCATGGAGCAACTCAGAGGGGAGACTAGAGCTGGCCAGTGTGACTGATCCCTGTGGTATTTGAAGCTGTTTGGAACGTGGGAAAATTCAGAGTCTTCAGCGTGGGCATTATTTGGAGTGCAGGGAATCTTTTTATAAAGATTCTGCCCTAGGGTCATCTTTACATGGGACAGAATATACATATCCAGGACCTTGCAGGGCCAAGGATAGTGTAACAAACCATGTGAACTTGCTATTTTCTAGTACCAGGAAGAAAAACATTTGGTTACCTATGAAAATTATCATCTAAGTGGTATGCGGTCAGATTAATTCCAGAAGAGCAGAGGACATCCAATTTTCCAGGCAAATCCAAGTATAGGAGAATAAATACAAGTTGGCAAATCGTCAGAAGAGGAAGTAGTGTTGCATCTATGTACGCTGTTCCTGAGAAAAATGAAACTAGGTTGTGAAAAGGGTGGTGAGCACTTTAAAGTAAGTGTACACCACCACAGGCTATCACTGCAGCAGGGGTCTCACATCTCCTTGCAATGCAAAGTGTAACATATTTGCATGATGTAGAGGAACAAGGGTTGCTTAGTGTAGTATAAACTCCCTATATTCATGGATAATTGAGTTTTGAATGTTGCTACCTCATGCCTTCAACTATACCGGAAGACATCCTGGATTTTGTTGTGTGTCAAAAAAGGTCCTGTCTCAAAAGTGTTCTCCAATGCCCAGCTTTGGAGTTAAAGCACAAACCACATTTGAAATGGCTGAGGAAAAAAATACCTCAAGGCGTTAAGAAAACACGGAGAAGCAGTAAATCAGGAGACAGGCCTCTTGGATAGACACTAGAAATGAGTCTTAATTACAGCTGGGAGAGCCTGCCTTATCACAGCATGACTCTGGAAGAGTTAAAGGATCTGAATAAGGTGCAAGGACTCGGAAATTTCACTCATGAGAGTCTGGATTCCTTTTTAGGACTGACAAAAATCTAAAACCAGGTGGACCCTGAGCCTGTGAAATCTGAAATGAAAGGTAGTTTGGAGCTGATGTTTCCTCACGTCCAGAAGAAAACACCGCTCCCGAGTCCGTCCCCTCGTGATAACTGCCTGCCCTTTCACAGCAGTTGTGTTATTATTAAAAATATTAATTTAATATTATTAAAAAACTAAAGGTTCTTGCTGTGAACCTTGCTCTGTTCTCTACACTTGCACTTGTGCTCTCACGTGTTGTTCGCAGCTTCCCTCCCCCTTAGGCAAGTACACACACCCAGCTGAGAATACAGCACTAGCACGCACCAAAATCTATTAGATCCTGCCCCAGGACTGCTGTACGCACAGTTTTCCCTAGAAATGTCCCCTTTTCCACTGGAATCTGCCCAGAAGGATTTGAGGACTTGATGTATTCATGAAGGATTTCTGAACGTGGGATATCTGAGATAGCTAGGTTGCCGAGCACCTAACATTTTCTGGCACGTTCACTGTCCGTAGGGTCACATCCACTGTCTGTAGGGTCACGTCAGAGCCGCTGCTCGAGCTGAACGGTGACAACACACCTAGGCAGTTGGCCCAGGAAACCCTGCACAGACCTGCTGCATGCGTGTTCATTCCCACCGGGAATGCTGGGGAACAAGACACCAGTATGTATGTATGCTGAAATCCCAGACAAACATCAGGCTGTCCTGGCACACCAACTCATGTCTCTCATACTTAGCTGAAGTTTCCGTTCTATTTTCTCTAGCCAAATCATCCTTAGCCAGTCCCAAAACCGTGCAAAGCCTGAGCAGAAGGGAAATGTTTGCATGTGGTATTTCAAAACACTTTACTCCCCCTTTCCCAGGTCATTCCTCCTTAGAAGAAGGTTTGGGAACCCCTGTGGCACGGGATACACACCACCACATAGACTAGAGCTGGGATGACAATGCCGGAATGCTTGTTTGCCCGTACAGTTTGCTTTTAGGCTGTCTTTTGTGGAAGTCCCTAAGCTGTTGTGAGTGTAGGTGGAACACGAGACATACATTTAGACACCATGATTCCTGAAGTGAGAGAGTGTTCTCAGTGCACGAGCAGCTGCACCTTACTCAGGGACCTGTGAAGTGCAAGGGGTGGGGAGAAAGTACTAGTGCATCAGGATTGCAGATGGCACAGTTCTCCCATAATCCTCTGGGGCACTGGCAAAGCAATTGGATAGCCCCCTTCGCTCTGTGACTGCCATACAGGTGTTGGGCACTACCCTTTGCCCATTCACCCAGCGTAGGGATGCAGGCCAAGAACAGACACGATGCTTCCCGAGTTTCGGGGCTGTCTGTTGTACATAATGGTCTTTTCAGACTTGTCAGTTCTTTCATGCAGCCACGGCCAACAATTGTAAGGGACCCCCATTACAATTTGCAGAGCAGAAGCCCTGTGGAACTCCTAAGCTGCCACTGAGAAAAGAAAAATGCTGATTATAAAAAACCCCTCTTGTTATTTCAAATACTGACCATATTTTCTTCTTAGTCTGAAAACTGAAGGGGACTGTGCCAAGACAATGACCATTCCATAGGATTTTCCTGTCTTTGCAACTGTACCAACTACTCTCAAGACGAAACACATGTCTTTTGCCTGTACGAGCTCACTTCCAATGAACTGTGGACACACTTTTGGGCACGATGAGGACCTTTGTACAAACATCCTATCATATCAATGAACGTTCCAGATGCCATAACCGCAGAATGTAACCACAGGCTGACAGAAGAATCATGTCCCTAAGTGCTGTGAATGTCTTTGCCTTTGACACAGCTCTTCCGTGAAAGTAAACAAAATGAAGCTGAAGAAACATCCCATCTTAAATGCCTGGCAATTAAATTCATTTTTCTGTACTGTGAAGTCAGTCAGCCTCCATAAGGAATGCAAACCTGAACCTGAGCATTCAGAGGTTGCCTCATGGGGTTTTTTGAGGGCTTATTTTCTTAATTACTCTCCCTCACATGGCCCTTAGATACCAAACAGAATGTCATCGAAGGGATTCTCCCCCTCTGCTCTGCGCTGGTGAGACCCCACCTGGAGTGCTGCGTCCAGCTGTGGAGCCCTCAACATCAGAAGGATATAGACTGGTTGGAGCGAGTCCAGAGGAGGCCCCGGAGATGCTCCGAGGGCTGGAGCCCCCCTTCCAATACCTGTGTGGGGATACAAGGAAGCTGGGGGGGACTTTTTACAAGGGCCTGTAGTGACAGGACAAGGGGTAACGGGTTTAAATTGAAAGTGGGGAGGGGTAGATTGGATATCAGGAAGAAGTTCTTCCCGGAGAGGGTGGGGAGGCACTGGGACAGGTTGCCCAGAGAAGCTGTGGATGCCCCATCCCTGGAAGTGTCCAAGGCCAGGCTGGATGAGGCTTGGAGCAACCTGGTCTAGTGGAAGGTGTCCCTGCCCATGGCAGGGGGGTTGGAACTGGATGGTCTTTAAGGTCCCTTCCAACCCAAACCATTCTGTGATTCCATGATCTTAATGTGCCAACAAGTTGCAAGTCTGGCGGATGGCTCCCACTACCTTCCCAACATTTTCTTACCTCAACAGAACTGTTTGTTGATCCTCCTACTGCTGTGTGTCTACTGTATTGTTTGAACTGTTGCAATCCATCCTGCACAGCTTGTACCACTCCATTTCCTCCCTGGGGGAAACAGCCTTCTCTCGGTAGCGAACGGAGCTCCGAAATGCATGCTTGAATTCGTGCAAAGTTTTCTTTCACTTGCTGCAAGACAGTATTCAATGGAATTGAAAGACTGGAAAAGTCAAACTGGTAGTACGAAATATTTTTCCATCATGGGGAAGGCGGCTTTTAAATTCACTTGGAATTATTTTCAAGGCCAGGCTGGACGAGGCTTGGAGCAACCTGGTCTAGTGGAAGGTGTCCCTGCCCATGGCAGGGGGGTTGGAACTGGATGGGCTTTAAGGTCCCTGCCAACCCAAACTGTTCTGTGATTCACAGCACTGAGATAAGACTGGGGGCAGGAGCCAAGTCATAAAGCAGTGAACAGTGAAGCAAAACCAGCTGATAGTTATGCCAGTAACAACACACACGATCGCTCCTCAAGTGTTCAGCAGTCTAACTGTTACCTGCTGCTCGCCAAAGCGTAGTAGTTTGGCATGCCCCTCTCCTCTGGCCCTGCATAACACAGAGACATAGATAGGAGCAGTGAGGTGGTGTGCAATCCCCAGCCCATATCTGTACTCCTTTAGCTCATCGAGCTGTGCACCTCTGGAATCCGCATTCAGGAGGGTTTGGAGTCAGACTGCGGCAACAGTTCAAAAAGGGGTTCCACAAGCTCATGGCTAACAGGTCCAGAAGCAGATACCAAGAGGAATAGCCTCAAATGTATCCTCTATCACTCTTAATACACCAGCCATGGAACTAGGGGAGCGGGAGGAGAATGAACTGCAGCCAAGTCCAATGGCTACGGAAGTGAGAGACCAAAGCTGGCCACGCGCTGGGGTGGGCACCATGCTCACCGCCCTGCCTGGCTCTGGTGAGGATATGTGTTGTATCCTCACCCACTTCACTTTTCATTTGCTCGTCCCTTAGTTAACGTCCTTTCTCCATGTTTTCTTTTTCAGCCCTTTTTGTCAGGGAGGGTCTGGGATTTGTGGGTGATGGTTTTCCCAAGGGAAAACCAGTAGGAATAGGGCCCATCAGCTGGAAGTGCTCTGCTTAGAGTCCTTACTCAGCCCCACACTAAAATTTTGTGATGCTTTAAGTGTTCACTTCCCCTCTTGTCACCACTTCTTGTTCTCCAGGTATTTACCTTCCTCCTGGTTTCCTTTTCTTTGGCATCCCCATGCCCTTTCCAGGGAAGCTCTTCGGACTTAAGAGTGAAACCGATAGGGAAGACTAGTAGGAACAGAAACTGTAAACAAGCACCCAGGAAAGACTAAGAAAAGGGCAGCTGTGTGTGACACTTTCCCATGTACTGTCCCAATCTCTATTTTCAGGTTTGGGGCTTTCCTGGCTTCATATGATTTGTCTAATAAGCAACCTTTAACATAGCTCTATCTCGGTTCCTCACTGAGGACTACCAGGTTTTTCTCCAGCTAGATCAGAAGCCAGCGTGACAACCAGCATGCCCTGCGGGGACCAAGGGGCAAATTCAGGAGTCCAAAAAAAGCACTGGAGCCCTGGCATTTCTGCAGGAAGCTGAAACGGAACCGAGGTTTATCAGACACAGATATAAAACCGCTCCTGATTCCAGAAGCTGCAGAGGACCAGACATCCCTCTGAGTGAAATTAGGTGCATTGAAGAGGAGGTGCCATCTTGCTATACTGTTCTGTTCCGAGCAGAGAAAGAACAGCCTTCAGTACAACAGCAGATGTCTGAGACACAGAGACGGCTCAGCAGGCAGAAGATCCAAGCAAAGCTGGGGAGGAGGGGAGTGGGGGCTCACACTGGGGTTACACCTGGGTATGCACTACGGGCTCAAGGCTTTGAGTGGGAACTCTGCCGCCTCGGACAAGTCCCCGAGAGACACAGAGTGCGACAGCAGAAGAGTTGATGTGATTACCAGTCATGTAGACAGCAGGAGGGGGTACGTGTTAGCTCTCTGTACAGCACCGCTGGGTCTGGTACTGGAATATAGCATCCAAAAAACCAGAAGAGTGAATGAAAGGCTTGGAAGTTATGAATGGTCTGTAAAAATGCCTTGCAGTTAAACTTATGTTTTGTTCTTTCATTTACCAGCTGGAAGACTGAGAAGGGACCTGCTTATATTTAGAGGAAGAAACACAAGCAGGTTCTTCAATCTAGCCAAAAGAGGAAATATGTTAACAAATCCCTGGAAGATGAAGCCAATACATTCAAATTAGAAAACAGGTGCAAGTTTCATAATGACAACGATTCACCACTGGAAAAAAATATCAACAGAAGTATTTGATTCTTCATCTTGTAAGATCTTCAGATCAAATCCAGACGCGTTTCTGGAGGAAGTGCTTTAATGATACGCGTGCTTCAGTGAAATATAGTAAGCTGTAATATGAAGAAAGCCAAACAGTGATCTAAGGCTTCCCCTGTCTTTAAAAACCATGATTATCTAAATGAGGAGTTGTTGTTTAAACGAAAAAGACAGCCTATCTTGAGCCAAAGATTCCTGTGATGGGGCAAGTAGAGGGACTGTGTCCAAGTGCAACTGTGGTCTGGCGACCCACGACTACCACGAGATCCGAGGTTGCTGTCAGCCAGCACATGATGGATCAGTGTCAGCACATACCTAGCAAATCTAAAAGCAGGTATTTTGCCCCAGACATGTACAAATTAGCTGGGACATAATGCAGAGTCACAGAAAACAGGTTGTCCAGAGAAGCTGTGGATGCCCCATCCCTGGAAGTGTCCAAGGCCAGGCTGGATGAGACATGGAGCAACCTGGTCTAGTGGAGGGTGTCCCTGCCCATGGCAGGGGGGTTGGAACTGGGTGGTCTTTAAGGTCCCTTCCAACCCAAACCATTGCATGATTTTATGAAAACAGTCCTGGATCCAGTTGTAGGCCACCCTACAGTGACATGCCAGGACAAATTACAGGTAAATTCATCCTAGGAAGCAAGACAAGGGTCTGTTCTTAAATCGGAGTGATTTCATAGTATCTCCAGAAAACGTTTTCATGGTATCCCCTTAGTTATCCTTGTCACATTATCTATAACCTATTCTACAAAATGAACACCACCATTAGGCACAGTCTTCCTGCAGATCACATGTGCTAAACTTCTGTTGACTTCTGATTTGTTTTTCCACTTGGCCTCTGCTTTTTCTGAGATACGAAAACGTGACGAAGTATTTCAGCATGTTTTCACCACTGTGAACAAAGTGGAAGGGTTAATACCGTGTGTTTACACTAAGAGAGGGTGCTCAGTGTGGCTGTTTATAATAGCATGCCCTCACAGATTCTTGCGAACTCATGATGCTTTGTAATCCCAAAGATTACAAATCTCTGAACAAAGTGGAAGGGTTAATACCATGTGTTTACACTAACAGAGGGTGCTCAGTGTAGCTGGTTATAATAGCATGCCCTCACAGATTTTTGTGAACTCACGATGGTTTGTAATCCCAAAGATTACAAATCTTAGATCTATATATTTAAAAGATGTGTAGATGTGGTGCTGAGGGACATGGTTTAGTGGTGGACTTCGCAGTGTTAGGTTTATGGTTGGACTCTTAGGGGTCTTTTCCAACCTAAATGATTCTATGATTCCACGATTCCAGGGTATTTCTCAAATTTGGCAAAAATACTTTGAATTCTTTCCCCTTAAATGTCTGGGACCGCTCCCAAAGGTGTAATATTTGTGCAATCAACAGGTATACAGACCATTTCACCACCTGAATTGTAACAGCTGTGGAGCTGTGTTTGATAACCCTGATAGAGAAGTGCAGATAGTGCAGACAGTGGCGTACGGGAGGCGGAGGTACCACAGATGTTGCAGAAGGGAACGGCACAAAACCTAATTTATGCACATGAGCACCTTCACAGGTCAAACCCAGGACGCTCCTCCTGGACTTGTGGTAAACCATGACTTTCTTCACTGAACTGCAGCACTGTCTTGCATTCATGGTTGTTAGATCCCAAGAGGCATCATTTCACACGTACCGTAAAGGGAAGCAGACACTCCTGCTGGTTCTGCACCACGTAGAGGCTCAGCAGGGGAACACGGCAGGGGCCTGCCAAGCTGCTTGCCAAACAGAGTGTGTTTTCCAGAGCTTCAGAGAGGACAGAACAAGTGTTGGTCCAGGAAGGTGATGTGACATCCACAATGAGAATCCGTGATGGCTGCTGGCAGTATACTTTAGGAGCAGGAAATGTTCTCCGCGTTTCTGAGAGTAATCTTCTGGAATTCATGGCTTCTGAACACGGGTGTTAGATGTCCCGTTATCCATCTGCATCTGAACAGGAAAAATTAACAAATAATAGCAATGAGTGGGACTCTCCCTTTCCCATTCACTTGAAAACAACCTGAGACATAGCAAACAGTAATGAATTAGACTCCTACAGCTTTCTCCAAAGCAATCATTGTTCAGACTCTGGGATAAACCCACACAAAGACAAGGGAAAACGCACGAGGTCAGAAAACAAAACGGTGCAGCACGGCAGGTATACTCTCAGAGATGCAACCGGAGCAGTTAAAAGTGTTAATGGCATGGCCATGCCCAGCTCCTGGCAGAGCTGTGCAGCCTTTGCAGACCCACTTCTTCTGCAGGGGCCAAGCGATTAAACTCAAATGCTCTGAGGAGAACACAGTCCTCACTCCTTGAGTAGCAGACAAGTAGCCACCATATCGACAGAAGGCCAGCATGATGCAGCAAGGAGACACTGCATAGACACAAACTGTAATTTGTGGATGGTGGAGAACTGCACTTTCTCCTTCGGAGCATCTAACGACCGGGGTTAGCCCTCTGCACCAACAAAGGCTCAGTGAACGCAGCGCTAAGGTTGCCCCGCACTGACACTGTTAAAGAACACGGGAGTGCTGCGAGCCTTAAAAAATCCGTAACGTCAAAAACTCAAAGTCTTCTCAGCCGAACACCAGCTCTGATTCCCAGAGATGCTGGAGATGCTGGGAATGCTAGGCACAGAGGTAGCTGTGCTTCACGTGCCACGGAGCTGCGCGTGCCAGACGACGCAGGGGTTCGTTAGAACAACGCGGTGGTGCCGTCGGTGTTGCGAGGCAACAGCTACACAAGGAAGGGAAGGAAAGATTAGGGTTCCTCAGTTCCTGGGTCCTGTGTGTGTGGGAGGAGAGGCGGTGCCCTGGGAAATCGCAGATCCCTTAGGCACACAACCAGGATAGTTTCCCGTCTCCCTCTTTTGGCGTGTTTCCTTTCATCCGGCAGCACCGCTGTGCGTCTCTGCACGCGTAAGGCTCAGCTGGTGGTGCGCCGAGAGCCTTCCCCGCGGTCTTTACGAAAATTTGGCTGTTGGTGAAATAGGAAAGGGAGAAGTGAGGAGCAAACAGGAGTGTGCCGTCAGGCCCGGCGTCTTCCCTCGCATGCCCCAAACGGCAAAGCCCTGAAGCCAGAGTGAGCACCTCGTGGCTTGGCACTCATCCTCAGACCCTGAATACGGCATTTGTTCCCCCCCTCATTGCCCCTGAATGCATAAACCTTCAGCACAAGAGCCACCATTTTCCTGTTAAATAATGCTTTTTTCTTCCTTCATCACAAAGATCCTGCCTAAAATCTTCGCTTCACTGAATCTAAACGTACCTGCTCACCACACCCAGCGCTGTTTTCTACGGGTACCAAAAAAAAGTGCTTTAAAAATGCATCTTGGTCTTGGTAATGACAGTGGTATGTGAGCACACAAGTCTACCTAAGCCCAGAAAAATGTCTGTGTAACTGCACATACCTTCTCAATACGAAGGAGAATAAATTCCTTCTTCCTACAGTTGTGTAAATCCCCAGCAGACTCAGTAAAAAGTTTGAAACGACCCTGGATTTACACAGTTGGGCTCTGGTCAGACCCCAGGCCAGCATGCATTCCTGTAATTTGTGTGCTGTGTTCAGCTGAGACAAATAACTCCTGTATGCTCACCAAGGAGACAAAGCTACTGATATTTCTTACAGCCTCCAGCGCTTTGCAGTAAGAATTTCTTTAGGTCTTGAAAAGAGTACGAAATGCATTTCTATTTGATTGAAGTATTATCAGGAAAAAAAACCCCAAAAACTGGTGCAAATGTCAGATACAGATCACGTGCGTGAGCGTCAGTATCCTGCTGTGACTAGCAACCTGATACAATTTCACTACAAAATGGAAAACTGCCATCACTTTAATCAGTGTCTCTTCTGGAACTTCACGATTTACAGGAGAGTTCACTAAATTACTTCACTGAATCTGGGAAAATATTTGTCTGCCTGTATTTTTTTGTGGTGAAGCTTCTTATTCCCGAACTCTGAGGGTCCCCAGTGCTTTCTCAAGCAAGGAAACAACACACATCTGGCAGTCAGAAATCTAGAAGAGTTGGGTCTTTGATTTGTGTTGGTTTCAGAGAGAAAAATGAGCCTTGGTTCTGAAAAGGACATGATTTTCCTCAATTTGAATGAATTCTCTCATTCTTGAAAAGCCCTCAACATCAGAAGGATATAGACCGGTTGGAGCGAGTCCAGAGGAGGCCATGGAGATGCTCCAAGGGCTGGAGCCCCTCTGCCATGGGGACAGGCTGGGAGAGTTGGGGGGTTCAGCCTGGAGAAGGGAAGGCTCCGGGGAGACCTTATAGCACCTTCCAGTGCCTGAAGGGGCTACAAGGAAGCTGGGGGGGACTTTTCCCAAGGGCAGGAAATGACAGGACAAGGGGTAACGGGGTTAAATTGAAAGTGGGGAGGGTTAGATTGGATATCAGGAAGAAGTTCTTCCCGCAGAGGGTGGGGAGGCACTGGGACAGGTTGCCCAGAGAAGCTGTGGATGCCCCATCTCTGGAAGTGTCCAAGGCCAGGCTGGATGAGGCTTGGAGCAACCTGGTCTAGTGGAAGGTGTCCCTGCCCATGGCAGGGGATGGGACTGGATGGTCTTTAAGGTCCCTTCCAACCCAAACCGTTCTGTGATTCCATGATTCTATGACACTGCACAGAAATGCGCTTACTTTAAACTGCTTTAGTAGAATGGACACGTCATCAGCTACGCTCTATCAACTGAATGACTTTCTTCATTACTGTGGTGTCTTAACTAATCTCTGCTTAGCAATATTATAAACACTAAGGATAGTCCCCACCCTCTTTCTAATACAGGAACCAGCAGAACTTGGTTCCAACCTCACTCTAAGTAGGAATTAAAAACCCCACAAAAATGTGAATAATGAGTTTAAGCTAAGAATGCCTTCCCGGGTGGCTAAGCTCTACATTCCTACAGCTGTGACGACAAAAACTGCTCTGGCAGTTTTACAGAGACGTCGGGAGTAACCGAGTAACCACCTCTCCCAGTGCCTCTCCAGGAAGAACTTCTTCCTGATGTCCAGTCTCAATCTCCTCTCTTTCATTTTAAAGCCACTAAATACATACCAGGCATATTCACAGAAACAGTGATCTAATGCAGTCAATAAAGAATTTAAAATATTGTATAATTATGCAAAATAAATCTAATTAATCAATGTGTTTGAGTAGGATTACATATAGGTCTAGGTGGTCAAGACAGGAGTGTCAGCAGCATATAATTTGCCTGTGAGGCATTCACGCTTGCTTTTTTTTAGTCAGCATCACTACACAAAGCAACGAACCCCCTCAACGAAGAGATGAAGTGCTCATTAATGGAGAAATTCCAGATAGCTATAAATGGGGATGATCCAGTAAAACGTTTCCACTGCAGTTACACAGTAACCTTTTTTCACTTAATTAGGCAGAAACCAGACGATACACAAAAATTGGCCTGACAAAATCAACAGAAGATAAACACATTGCGAAGAAGAATCATTTGTAAGGGCTTCACACAGCTTCCTGTCAAACTGGGCTCATTTGCATACCGCGCATTTTAACACAGCCGAATGCAATTAAGCAACGGAGCAGCAGAGGTAGCGGGAGATTAGACTGTATGTCACCCACAACTCAGGAAGTGCCCGAGCCGCACACAGTGGGCAGCGGGAAGAGTCTGTGTCGCCGCGGGCTCACCCTCTTCCTACACGCTTCCCAAAGCACTCACTGCGCGCCACAAGCTCCCGGAGGAGACGGATCCCCTGCGTCGCTATCCTCGTATCGTTACCATCGGAAGGTTCGGATGAGCTGGTTTTAAAACGTGCCCTTTTCTGATTAAGCTTCAAGACCCTGGGAACCGTGAATATTCTCACGCGCAGAACCGAGGAAGCTGCGTAAGTAAGCGGGTTTACCAGAGGAAAAAAATGGCGCCCACGGAGAGGCCCGAGCCATGAAGCGGCTGTGCAGTGTGGGCGACCTCTGGGTATGACTCTTTCGTCTGCCTAGCCGAGAAAGGAAGGCGTTTATTAACAAAGATCACAATGAACAGTAGAATAAAACCAAGTTAGCATAAAATCAAGCTACTGAAAACTAAATTATTCAAGATCCTATGGAACGGAAGAGAGCACATGTTTTTCTATACACCAGCGCTATAACCAATTTTTAGACTCGTGCTTTTATTGACATGAAATCACCAAATCTTAGTCAAAATAGTCACTCTATCGTTAAATTCACTCATAACCTTCATAGGTTGTTTCCTTTTTCAGAGAAGAGGAATTACGACATTATAGAAGTGTAGAAAAAGGCATTTTCTAATTCAGACTCGCTAAAAACGACGCAGTAAACGACCGCGAATGCTCATCAACCGGATTGTTGACAGATAAAGCCAAACAAGGACATGCTGCTGCACCACGCATATGCCCAAGTAGCCCCTGAAGAAGAACCAGCCAACCCATAAACCCCATCGAGAGCGCTCTGCGGAAAGCTCTGCGGTATCGTGAGGAAATTCTGTTTGCGTGATGTGCCAGAACGCTCAGAATTAAAATCGTTTGGGTATTGTAATATCTTTCTGATGAGACTGTAGGTATGATTAATGAAGCCTCGTAGGGCATATACTCTGCTTTTCCTGGCGTCCTCATTAGGAAACTGGAATGAGATGAAGTCAACATACAGATTAAACAGATTAAAACCTGCATAGTTCATAAGCCTCTCTTTTTCTGAGAGGCAGGGTATCTCATGTGAGCTCTTCACCCCGAGAACAGCATCGAATCCATACCTCCCACGTTCTGGATGTCTTTTCTAGCCATTAATCCAGCGTATGAAACAATTAGTGGCACTAACCACATCAGCTTCAGCAGAGGAGCGATCTCTTCTTGGTTTTGTGATTGCAGCAGCTTAATTAATGTCACCAGGAGAGAACTCGGGTGTGCGCATCCTCAGTGGCAGCAGCCGCCTCACACTGGACCTGAGCGTTTAGATGCCAAAGAGCG